CCAGGAGTTGGAGATTGCTGTGAGCTGTGATGCCACAGCACTCTACCCAGGGGGACAGCTTGAAGCTCTGTCTCAAAAAAAAAAAAAAATTTAAAAATAAAAATAAATAAATAAAATAAAAATAGCTGAGTGTTGTGGTGGGTGCCTGTAGTTCCAGCTACTTGGGAGGCTGAGGCAAGAAAATTACTTGAGCCCAAGAGTTTGAGGTTGCTGTGAGGTATGACATCATGGCATTCTACCCCGGGCAACAAAGTAAGACTCTGTCTCAAAATAAATACATACATACATAAATAAAAGGGCTTTGGTGATATTAGGTATGAAATCTCAACTCTGGTTTGACTGTAAGACAACCAGTCCTAATACAACTAGTGATTTGGGAATAATTTTTTCTGAGCCTTACAGTCCTTAACCTGTAACATGGGAGGTATCTGCATCATGCAAAGACTGAGCAGCCATAAAGTGTCTAAGATATAATAATCATTAAATAATTAACATTAAAACCCCTATCACATATTACAAATGTGTAAAGAATTATAGAAAGATTAAGTCTCTAGCTCACAGTCCCAGAGCTCATTAGCTCGAACAATTGAGAGCATAAAATCTGTAATGTGTTTCATGATATTAATCCCTTAAAGAGAAAAAGACGAGGCTCAGCGCCTGTAGCTCGGCAGCTAGGGCACAGCCACATACACCAGGGCTGGTGGGTTTGAACCCAACCAGGGTCTGCCAAACAACGGCAACTACAATTAAAAAAAAACCAGCTGGGCATTGTGATGGGCACCTGTAGTCTCAGCTACTTGGGAGGCTAAGGCAAGAGAATCACTTAAGCCCAAGAGTTTGAGGTTGCTGTGAGCTGTGACACCATGGGACTCTGCTGAGGGTGACAAAGTGAGACTCTGCCTCAAAAAAAAAAAAAAAAGAGAGAGAGAGAAAAAGATGGACAAAGTCCTATAAATGAGAGCTAGAATTATAAACAAATTTTAAGTCAGCTTCAGTAATAAAATACACAGGTCCTGAAACCACAGTTACTAAATACTAACCTAAGATAACTTCAGGTGCTCTGTAATGTCTCGTAGATACCAACGTACTGTGATGCTCATCATCATAGGTCGCACTTCCAAAGTCTACAACTTTAATATCTGGATTTATTAAGGTACGTTCATCACGTTTCTGGAAAATCACAAATGATGGTTAAGGAAACATAAAATATTCATTTGAAATTATGAAGATAACATATTGTAGACTTACCATTTTGGGATTATACACCTCTGTGTAGTCAGACTGCACAAATAGGATGTTTTCAGGCTTTAAGTCTGTGTGAGTCAATTTATTACTATGCAAAACTGTAAATGAAACAGAAAATAATGGCTGTAATCTGAAAATTAGAAAACACAAAACAAACCAAAGCCCCAAACCTTCTTATACCTTTCCCATATGCCCAAAGAAGTGGTCAACATCATTCAAGTCTGCTGGAAAATGACCAGGGACTAAAATCTGTTACCCCTTCCTTAAAAAGCCCGCTGTAGCTATATGCAAAAGGAAAAACAAACAACCACCAACTTCTATCTAACGAAGCTCAGATCTGTGATGTCTTTTTTCCGAAGGTTCTTGGTTAACATTTTTAGAAATAAGAAAGACTAACTCCCAGTTTGCATATCAACAGTAAGTTATTATATATGCTAGATAATATCTTATCTAGTGAGAGAAATACGCACTGCAGACCAGCAGCCTGTTACCAAGTAAATTTTTTATACATACTTTTCCTCCTCCTTTCTTAATTGATAAAAATTGCACATATATGGGATAAGATTTCATATATGTCTACACTATTGAATGGCTAAATCAAGCTAATTAACATTTGCATTACACCTCACATACTTTTTTTTTTTTGAGACAGAGCCTCAAGCTGTCACCCAGGGTAGAGTACCAGGGCATCACAGCTCACAGCAACCTCCAACTCCTGGGCTCAAGTCATTCTCCTGCCTTTGCCTCCCAAGTAGCTGGGACTACAGGCACCTGCCACAATGCCCGGCTATTTTTTGGTTGCAGTCGTCATTGTTGTTTGGCGGGCCTGGGCTGGATTTGAACCCGCCAGTTTAGGTGTATGTGGCTGGCACCTTAGCTGCTTGAGCCAAGGCATTAGGTTCTATTTTTAAAGATCCAAATTCAGCTGACATTTAGTCTCAAACTCAAGTTTCCACAAGATGTGCCAAGAACTTACAATTCACAGACTTGCATATCTGATATGCCATCTTCCTGATATGATCCAGTCGAAATGGTAGAAAACCATTTTCCTTAATGAAGTCGTAAGTACTAAGTCCCAGTAGTTCAAACACAATGCAGATGTGACCATGATGCTCAAACCACTCCAACATCTGGACACATCGACTAGAAACACATGAAAAATAACTTAGTACAGCTTCTCACAAGTCAAATCTACCGGAGGCCATTTCCAAGTCCCAATTTGATACTTACAAAGTACTATTGGGGTCTGTTGTATTTAGGTGTTCGAGAACTTGTATTTCTGAGCGAGCAGCTTCACAATATCTATCCACATTTTTAACTATTTTTACTGCTACACGTCTACCTCCCCTGTTAGAGAAAATAAGTTAAAAAATGATAAAGAAAACATAAGAACACAAAAGGTAAAGGAAAAAAATTGTATACTAACTTAAGAAATTTTAATCAGTAGTTCAATGGAGATAATTAAGCTTGTGGCACCAATTTAGAAGAGTTACCATCCCTGACTGTGTTATCAAGATGAATTATGCTACTTTCTGAAAATAAAGGATGGCCCAGACATAGTGGCTCGTCCCTGTAATTCCGGTACTCTGGAAGGCCGAGGTCAGAGGACCCCTTGAGCTCAGGAGTTGGAGACCAGCTGAAACAAAGCAAGACTCCCGTCTCTACTAAAGCTAGAAAAACTACCCAGGCACTGTGGCAGGTGCCTATGGTCCCTGCTATTTGGGAGGCTAAGAAGGATTACTCAAACCTAGGAGTTTGAGGCTGCTGTGAGCTAGGCTGAGGCCATGTCACTCTAGTCAGGCCAGAGAGCGAGACTGAGACCGTCATTCAGCATATAGATATATGCTGCAAGGTAACTACCACCCTGAAAAGATAAGGGTTGAACAAAACTTCAAAGGCACCTAATACAAAATGAAGGCTGAAAACCACAGATCTGGGGGAAAAAATTCTGGCCACAACTATGCCCATAATAAGTCAAATGATAAAAATATGTTCTCCGCCTGGAATTAGTAGCCACGTATAGCTGGGTACAGCAGCTCATGTCTGTAATCCTAGCACTCTGGGAGGCCAAGGTGATAGGTTATCTTGAGCTGAAGAGTTGAAGACCAGCGCGAGCAAGAGCAAGATCCTGTGTCTACTAAAAATAGAAAAACTAGCCAGGCATTGTGGTAGACACCTGTAGTCCCAGCTATTCCAGAGGCTGAAGCAGGAAGGTCACTCAGACCTAGGAGTTTGTGGTTGTTGTGAGCTAGGCTGACTGCACAGCATTCTAGCCTAGGCAACAGAGTTGAGACTCTGTCCCCCAAAACCTTGTAAAAAGTTGCAAGTATGATTAATAGCTACTGTTTAAATAATACAAAGGGTACTCAGTATCTTTTTTTTTTTTGGTAGCTTTTGGTTGGGGCTGGGCTTGAACCCACCACCTCTGGTCTATGGGGTTGGTGCCCTACTCCTTTGAGCCACAGGTGCCACCGGTACTCAGTATCTTTAAGTGGAGGTATCTTATATCCAAGTCAAAAGACCCAAGGTAAAAAGGTATAAACACACAGCTATAACTCATGGTTGAACCACTTCTAAAGTGACCACCTCAAGGATAATCCCAGCGGGGGAAACTTACGCTTTATGATCAATGCACTCCACGACTTTTCCAAAAGCTCCTTCACCTAAAGTATCAACAATTTCATCTAAAAGAGAGAAATAAATCTCAGTCATACAAGGAAGTGGAAACAATTTACTTATAATAAATGCTATCAATGCAGATTATTCTAGTTGATGTTATAAATTTCCTTATCACTAGATATTTATTTTATTGGTCAACACCATCAAAAAACATGTAACTATTTTTAGTTCTAATTTCATTTTTAGGCTAATTTCATTAACTTGATTTACTGTTCTGGAAGTTCTGCATAACAAACATTAAATTTCTAAAGAAAGCAAAACACAATCCCCCCCACCAAAAGAAATGGAAAAATAAAATAAACAAACAAAGAAAAAACAGAGAAAGAAAAAAAAGACTTCCAAATCCCTGAAATCTTAATCTACATATAGATTATGTTATCTGAAAATTAATAAGTGTTGAAAAATATTCTATACATCTTGCACTTAGTACGTCTCCACTCTGACAGATCAGGTGACCCTCCTCATCATCCTCTACACTCCTGGTTCTTTTCCTTCGGTGACTCTTCTGGAAACGTCAAGTGGGCGGCACCAAGATCATCCAGCCAATCAATATACCCGAGTGAATTCAGGGCAGAATACGAAATTCATTCAGCGGGGAGATATTCAGGCATTCAGATACACGCCAGGCCACAAACGGTTGGCAGGAGCAATTTCAAATTCAGTCCCCAGAAATTCACAGGGCACATAGTTTATGTTAACAGGAGAAAAACATGGCAAGGAACAGATTTTCAGATAAGATACTCAAAGTGGCAAGGCAACAAAACATAATACAATTGTTTTTCTATAAAAAAAAAATGCTTAGTTGTAGCATTCACTGAAACATAATTTTACGTTTCTAGTGTCCTAATTTAATGTAGGATGTAATATTTACTTGTTAAAGTAGACTGTGGCCAAATTAGAATTTCCTAGGTAATCTAAGAAAACAAATATTAAAACAGTAAATAAAATTGAAAGTCCTAATTGTGGGGGGAAAAAAAGATCTGGCATACAAGAATACTACTATCGCATTTTAAATGTCATCTGAGCTGATCTCCAAGTTAATACATAACCCATAGTTCAAATCTGGTGTGGCTTGCTTAGTGAAAAAGGGATTAGAGAACATGCTTAGTTAGAACAAAGAGGCACACCTAACCTTCAATCATATAAAAATGCCTTTTCTATTTTTGTGGTATTCAACTTATCAAATCAGATTTTTTTAGGTATTAAAAAAACCTTTTAGAATATCTTGAAGTCACTTTTGAACTAACCTACTAAATTATCTCCACTATTTCACTGGAATGGCAATAAGCCAACCGACAATTAAGTCTGGTTGTACAGAACTAAATGTGTACTAACTTCAAGAATTTTCTATCCAACGTACAAACACAGAAAGAATCCTGCAAGTTAAAATTGAGATGACTTCATCTTAAACACTTTCTCAAATAATCAAATACAAATTCAAGTTTTCCTGTTCCCATGGGAAATACAATTTCCAAAATGTTTTAAAAGAGCTCATACCCCATGTGAACGATGATGTGAAGTACTGTGGTGAATCCTGTGTTTGCTTTTATAACTACTTCTTCCACTTCTACCAGATGACTTGCTACTATGGTTTTGATATCTGCTTTCATGGTCTCTATGGCGATGTCCAAGTTCACATCCTTGACTGTAGTCATTTCTGTATTCGTCAATGTAGCGCCGACTATAATAATCCTTCTCATTTATAGACCTGCTTTCCAAATAATGGCTAGAGACAAAAAAAAAAATCATGTTCAGTGTTTTATGCTAATACCAAATATCCTCAAATCCTTAGTAAATCTCTTAAATTAGGACTCTAAAAAAAGATTTTATAAACCTCCCACCCACCAATTTTACAAAATCACTCACTGGTAACAGAAAAGAATGGTAATCAGCCATTATTTTAATTTATATTACTCTAAAAATGCATTTTTATATGGAGATGTTTTCTTTAAGCACCCTCCTTACCTGTCCGATGTTTTAGAGTGATTGTATTTGCAGCGCTTATTCTCCCGAGCACTGCTATGTGATCTCTTCTTTCTTTTATGACCGCTGCTGCTCCTCCATTTTCCACAATCCCAGTCCTTTTCTTCCCACTCAGAATAGTAAGTTCTCTTTGAGTGTCTCATCTGCACAAAAAGACAGTTTTTTCTTAAATTGTATCCCACACAGAGCTGTTGAATAATAAAGCTCTTACAAATTCACTCTACTTGTGACCTTTGAAATTGTTCTCTTAAGTCAAAGTTCAGAAACCATCATCACCCAAACTGGAACCATTGTTAAGTCCAATTACTGGAGTTTGAACTTAGGAGGTCTGTATTATCTATGTCTCAGATTTACTGAAAGGAGTTAAGAAATAAAAAGGTGAAGAAGCAAATCCCAATTTATTACCTTGGTTAAATTTTACCCCTGCCTTGACAATAGCATAAATGTCCCCACATCATTCTCCCCATTCAAACATGTATCAGATAGAAACTAAAGAAAATAGAATAAACTTGTATCAGAAAGTAACCTACAACTCTAATGCAATGATAAATGTTCTTCACCATCACTAAACTGTTTGCAGTACAGTACACACAGAATCCTCAGAGGAGTATTTCTGAAAAGGAGGCTGGGCTCAGTGGCTCTTGCCTGTGATCCTAGCATTCTGGGAGGCCGAGTTGGGCGGATTGCCTGAGCTCACAGGTTCTAGACCAGCCTTGAGCTAGAGCCAGACTTCGTCTCTAAAAAGTAGCCGGGCAACTATAGTCCCAGCTATTCGGGAGACTGAGTCAAGAGAATATCTTGGAGCCCAGAAATCTGAGGTTGCTGTGAGCTGTGACGCCACTGCACT